CTGCGTTTTGTGATAAAAAGGCATCTCATAATCGTTCGAACTTTTCAAAAGCATATTTTTTGACTAAACAACTTGAAATCAAAGCGAATAAACGTCTTTTATTTTGCTTTCCTTAAATTCATACCTCTTCCCCGTGAGAAAAAATTCGCGATTACCTCTGGTATAATGATTTTCATTTTTTCGGAAATTAATGAACACGTTTGCAAACACCTGATAAAAGCACAAGGAAGTCTTGCAAGTGCTAGATGCAGATAAGAGTGAAGCTTTGCAAAAAATTTTTATTGTCAAGACTCGATGATTTTGTTAAAGACAGTGGGTGCCGGTATTGTAAGATATATCATACAGTCTACATGAGTTGCAAAATTGGCAAATGATTTGTTTCACTCGTGGCTCTAAAGCCATTTTCAAAATTTTACTAAAAACTGAATCGGTTTTTAGATTGGAAATGTTTGGTAAAAGTCCGCTGAAAGTTTGAAGCATATCAAGAAAAATTTCGCGTCTTTAGGGAAGTATGCCAAAAAAATTGTTGTTCTCAAGAAGATGTGCCAGAAAAATTTTTGTTCTCAAGGAGGTATGCCAAAAACTTTAGCTCTGTTGTTCTCAAAATCGAAAGAATCCCACTAATTACAACTCGCAATTATTCTTTGCAAGTCTATGACTTATTTAAACAAAGACTCCGGTTTTTGGACGATATGCTATTCTCCAAAACTGCTAGGATTCAAATTTTTGACGATTTCTCAATTCATCAAAAGTTATTTTCTGAAGATGCCATAACAGGTCGTAGTCCTCATAGTTCTAGGACGCACTAATCTCGCTGATAAAAACTTACCAGACATCTGCACTCCCTTCTCACCACACGGGGTGTCGTAAGCCTTTTCCAATTCCATCACAAAATCGTGTGCATTTGCGAGCTTTGATGCCTCCAACATTTCTTCTTCAGTAGCCCAATCGCAACCATAGAGAATATTTTCTCGAACAGTTCCATTGTACAATATTGGCTCTTGCGCTACTAGCGCTACCTAAATTAAATTTTTTGTCAAGTAATTTCTCCTGGTTTCAAAAATCTCCTACCCGTTCATGGTAATACTCATGATCAACATTTTGTATTGGAATCCCATCAACTGTGATCAAACCACTGTCAGGTTCATACATATGCTGTATTAATGCGACAACTGATGATTTCCCTCCACCACTGGGACCCACTAAGGCTACAGTAGTGCCCGCTTCGATAGTTAGATTGAGACCCTGTAAAAAAGCTTCCTGGTTAAATGCAGTGTCCTGCAATTTCGTTTTTTCAGTTTTTCACCTTTTCGGAGCGTTCTTTCCATGAGGAACCCATATTTGAGCCTTTCAGCGCATGAAAACGGCGAAAATGAGCCTTCTCCAAAGGCCTTTTCCAGTTTTCCAGGTCCGCATTCAATGCTAATACGCTGGAAGTACACATATTTTCTACTGAATGCGGATTTGGAAAGCTTCGAGAAAAGCTTACTTTTGCCATTTTCATGCGCTGAAAAGCCCAGATATGGGTT